ATATGGTATGGTAAGCCTTATATTATCAAAGAAAACAATAAAAACCATTTCAAATCTATAAAAGCCACAACTGTTATAGATGTTCAAGTGTGAAAATAAAGACACTGAAATTTGRTTTATTTCCATATTTGGTTTTATATGGGTGCAAAATTGTACCTTCAAAATACTAATCTTACCTGTGAATTGAGGTATTTTCACAGTATGATTAACACTTCCACTTTAAAGGTATAGTGCCCAAATAGCTGGAGGCATTATGGTTTGAATATTGCCATTTATTGTGTCAGTGCTTTTAATACTATATATTCATTGTACGTGGACATTGTCTCACATATCTTATTGAATTTTAAAAAGAAAAGGATGTTGGGGTAGACCATTAAATTCTCAGTTATGGTGTGGTATATTCATTAGCAGCATACCCTACTTTTCTTTTTTATTGTTTCATTATCAGTTGCTGAATTTCCTGGTTAAAGGGGTACTGAAGAAATAGTCTTTAGGTTCCATAGAGTATATATAGGATTGAGAGAAAAAAAGGCCAAGTGTTTTTTCCTTCTGAGCAGTTTCAGAAAGCTATTTCAGTTGAACCTGCAAGTCTTCATGAAGGTCTTCATTATCTATCATAAGATTTTCTAAGTGTCCCACATGTTCTTTCTCAGGTCAAGAAAAAAAATACATGAAAAGCTTTGATTTTCCTCCCTCCTTCCCTGCCTCAACCCAAAGTTAGTTTTCACTGAGTCAGACTATTGTCACTGATATCCCATTTTAGACCATTCTTTGTCTTTCATGTTGGACATTCCTTTTACAACCTTTGTATCCACAGCTTTTACCACAGCAGTGTGTCACATAACAGGTGCGGTTCAAAAGTAAAGAAAAAAGTATACTTCTAAATTGAGAAGAGGAAAGAATTATAGTACTGATACACATMATTTTACAATCTTTAAAAAACCAGGAAAATTTTGTAAGAGAATGAGATGCATGTGAGAAATTTGAGATAATTATTTAATGCTGTTTCCCTTTTGGAGGGCCTCTGTTCAGTCAGTAGTTACAGCAATACTTGCAGAATACTATAGCTGCATTTTGCAGTGCTCTCTCTCCATGTGGATTTTATGGGTAATTTCTGGTTTTGGTTTGTTTGTGTATTTGTTAGAGAATAATTATTAAGCAGATTCAAAGGTGGTGACAGCTGCAAATGCCTCTCTGCTGATTGCAACAACTAGTTTGTGAAATTTGAAGACCAAATATGTCCTGAAAATATTGAGATAGTTGCTTGCTGCAATATAACTTGCTGATAGTATTTGTTATTTGGAACTGTATGCAAAGTAGGGAGTGACTAGAAAGCAACTATTATAGCAGTAGAAATAGCATGTGTTGTAGCTGGCAAAGCATTTTTTTTAATGTTTACAAGAKGTACTTCAAGAGTCACATTCAGAAATTTACTATCAAATAATATTCAACTCTTTTTTTTCATTTGTGAGTCAGATTATAAGAGATTACAGAGTGGCTGTAGAGAATACTTTGGCACGTATTTGCTATTTCACACCAGTAGCTATTTGTTATTTGTCAGATGATTTGTCAAAGTTTTTTAAATCCTGATGTTTCAAATTTTTTTCACATTGAATTTCATTAGCTATTAAAGCAGATGTGTTTAAGCATTCTATTACTGAAGAGTTCTCTGTACTTCTATTTGTTACAGGTCTGCTGTTTGAACTGACATTTAATGCAATGTAAATAAACATTCTCAATGCTTTCAAAAGAGATGATCCATTCAATTCATTTCATACTGGGACAAAAAAAAACCAAACCAGAAGCTGCATTTGAAAATCTTTTTGCACTTCTAATCTCTGAAATTACTATCTTGTGTTTGGGGTTTTGTCATTTAGTAGCAGTGCAGGTACTTACCAGTCCTTTTATCTGACTAGGTATTTAAAGTTTGGGGAAGCAAAAAAAGAGCACAGATGTTCTGTTCTTTGCTGTTTCTTTTGAATTTGCTTCTTGTACTTGGTCAGTGGAAGAAGAATACCTGTGACCTTGGTCTAGCAGTAGTAATATAGCTCTGTAAAAGAAGTGTARAATTGCTCTTTGTCTGGGTGTCCCTGTTGGACACTTCTTACACTACCTTTTTGTGATTGAAAGTTTTGTCTCTGTGGGACAACCTKTCTGAAACTTTCCTTAAAAAGTCAGACTCAAGTGGTCTAATTAAAACCAGGATTTATTAACAGYACAGAAGGGCTCAAGATTAGAAGGAAAGAAATGTTTTGCATAGCATATCTAGCCTGACACTCTGCAAAGCTCATCTAGATAGGTTTCCCTAGAGTTTAGTTACAATGAATAAAAATACATTTATAGAAAAATCCTTTTTTCTTTTTCTTTTCTGACTCCTTTTAAGGCAGCTTAGTTGCAGAAATCCTTCCCTTCAAGGGACTCAGCCTTTCTTTTTTTCTTGCTTATATTCTGCTCATTTGCATTTGTGGTCTTTTCTGTTGTTATTCATTTTTAAATTGCTGTATCAAGTCACTATTAATATATTTATCCCTTACAAAGAGAGGTTACCCTCTTCCTGATGACAGAATTCAGCATCCTTTAGAGATTCTTGTTCAAAATGATTGAACTACAGCTATGAGCTGGCATCTGGTCATGTCTGAAGTTGGGGTTGTCTGCAAAGCTCATGTGTCTCTGGCAACTGAGTGGTCCTGATCAGTGAGTGAAGGAATGATGCAGCACAGACAGCTGTAGATCAAACACTTGTTGCTAAATGACAGCATTTTTGATCACATCATTTACTATTGGTGATACAACTACTTGTCTTTGACAGCAGGAGGTCACTGAAAATAACATGTCCATAAAAAATATTGCAATTTTATGCATTCCAAAAGTGGGTTAAAGGAATCCAGGCATGGCAGGATGTTACAAGACCCTTAATTTTTTAATTTTTTTTTTTTTTTTATTTCCCTATTTCTACCACAATGTCTTTGGGAAGATTATGGAGTGATGCTGTTTCACTAAAAGCCACAGTAAAATTGCCATCTGTATAAAACTGGGATATGGATTTTTTATTTTCTCCAAATTCACTCACATTGAAAATATTTTTCTTCCTGGCTTTGAGAGGAAATGTTCAATTTGATTGTTCATAGAACATATATTCAAAATGCTTTTTCATTGTCTCAGGGCTATTTCTTRTAAGAAAGTAGTATTATTTTTTAAAACACAAATTTCAGAACTTACTAGACAAAACTAAATGCACAATTTATATCTTGAAAACCTGGTCCAATTTTARTAAAATTAGAAGAAAATAGGCAAACAGTAATACCATAATATRTTGGTGTTTTATTTCTGATTGAGATGGCTGTCTTTGAGTCATTTCTCATATGTAAAGCAAGATATAATTTCTTAGCATATATAATAGCAAGAYATAATTTCTTTCTCACATAACACTGTTGAACATATTTAGCATTTACACACAGTACATGTTAGCTCAGTAGTTCATAATTGGTGAGTTCATCTCAAAGGCATGGAATAMATCCATAAAACAGTGTGGATTGCACAAATATAAATACTGCTGGTTCTATCCTCTCTCTATGCATTGTACTCCTTTTGTTGGGATCAACAGAAGGCAGCTGCAGGAACTGTCCAGATAATAAACTGATCCTGTTGAGGTTCAGATTATTGCCATCTTTCTCAAGGGAATATACAAAAAGTTAGGGACCAGTGGCTTAACTTTTTCCAGCGGACTGAGCYCTGGGCTATAATTAAAGTACTCCTAGGCAGAGGGAGAGATGCAGTGTGTTCAAACTGTATGTTCTCAGTATTGTTCTCTATATAAAAATGATTGTCTGACATTAGAACTGAACTTTTAAAAAAATAGTTGAATTAAAAGTCAAATATTCATGATATTTGAGCTCTGGTTATTGTAGGAGTTTTTTTTTTTTTCTTCTTTCTCTTCCAGTAAGGACTTTATAATGACTTTCTATTTCTATCTCTTTTGCTTCTTAGATGTATGGTTGTGGTAATCACTTAGCACTTAAACCTTGTTTAACTGAACATCTTATTTTGAAATTTCTTGGCTATTTTYATATAAATAAATAACTTTTCTCTAACTACTACTAGAATAACATGCTTTCTTTCAGCCTTGTAATCTAATCTAGGTTTGCAACTTTTCTTTTGTTTTTTTTTACATGATCCACTCATCATGGCACTTGGGGGCAAACAGTTTGATACACCTGTCAACATTGCATTCTTATAAAGTAATAGATTAGAAAAGAAACTKTGTTTTGAGAATTGAATAAGATACATTTTTAACAGCATACARTGTTAGACGTGGCACAACAACTAAACTGGGAGCTGAAAATAATAAGTACAAGGGCAAAAAAAAAGATTTAAATTGTTTTCTTCAAATAGGCATAGGAAGAGAAAAGAAAGATAATTAGGATTTATTTGAGATGAGAGACCAAGAACAGGGTAGTATACATCAGACAGATAAGTAACTTCGGAATGTAGTATTTTTGCATTTAATTCTTAAAAACATACCTTCCACCACGAGAGCTGTTCAGCGTCAGTGGAGAGTTTCATCCATTTTGATGAAGTTGAACCAAACCTAAGTAAAGGATATCTGTGCTGCTACAAACAGGAAAGTCATATGTTATATCCAGAGAATGTCTATATTGAATGGCAAGAAAAGCCAATTTAGGGATCTTCCTGAAAAAGAAGTGACACTGATCTAAATAACATTGATATTTAAATCAATTTAATTTGATCAGTGCAAGTTTCTCCACGTGTACAGTTTAATCTATTGCAACTGATCTAGAGGAAATAACAGTGTGGTCAGTTGCCTATTTCATGTAATTTATCTGTAGATACTACAATGTGATTTTGTGTGTACCAAAATCACATGTATGTGATTTTCTATGACAAAGTGGTGGACAAGTCTATTATATTTCTCTAGGAAGAGGTTGTAGAAGGCCTGAAAAATAATTTTGAGAGGGTAGATTGAAGCTGCCTTATTGGGCATGTCTAACAACTTTAATTTAGAAGCATTCCTGGATTTGGTGCTTTTCACTGTCCAAAGGGGAGGGAGTGATGGACTGAGGGACGAACCACGAGAGCAGTTTGCAAAAGTCAACAGCGAGGAAGAGGCTGAGGTGGAGGGCGGGGAGCACGAGTCTTATGAGGAGCAGTTGACGGAACTGGGATTGTTTAGCCTGGAGGAAAGGACAATTCCCTGAAAGGAGGTAGGCATCAGTCTCTTCTTCCAGGCAGCAAGTGAGAGGACAAGAGGCAATGGCCTCAAGTTGCATCAGAGAGGTTTAGATGGGCTATTGGGAAAAAAATTCTTTGTGGAAAAGATTGTCAAGCACTGAAACAGGTTGTTTAGGGAAGTGGTGGAGCCGCCATCCCTGGAAGTGTCTGAAAAGCATGTGGACAGGGCACTTGAGGATATGGGTTAATGGTGAACGTGGTGTTAATACTACATTGATGGTTCGACTTGATGATCTTAGAGGTCCTTTCCAAACTTAACAATTCTATGATTCTATGTATATGCTGTAACAGGATGGAAACACCATGTAATTGCTAACAGTGGAGCTGTACTTGCATTTTGAAATGTGGGAAAGTTGAATTTCTCAGAGGATATTGAGAGTATTCTTTGATGAATAAGCATGGGAGAGAATGGGAAAGTTTTTTGAGAAATGATTGTCTGAAGGGTAAATGCAAGGATGATACCCAGTGCTGGTGTAGGAATATTAATGTATGTTTAGGTGAACCTATTGTGAGCTTGTAACTTTGATGTTGCATGTTGTCTTTACATCCTGTTGAGGCACAATACAGTTTGTTGCAGAGGGTAGTTCAAAACTTCCAAGCTAGATAGTGAAGAATGTGACAGTGAAAGTATCCCTGAAGGTCTAGGTGTCACATATCAAAAAGTGATACAAAATGTCTCATTTGATGTTCATTGTCATTCATGCAGTTTTCATGAACTCTTACATATTTTAGTGCATGTTCATGTAGTGTGGTCAGTGGAGAAGTGTGAAGTATTCATGAATATACATGAATATTTTATAACTACTCCCAAGGGTATCTTCCTCTTCTGGTAATTGGTACATTCCAGCTCCTGTACTTGTGAAACAAATGGTGCAAGATTTGGCAGTCAGAGAGACTTGCACACAAGACAGTTCTGGAGACTGGATAAGATGCTGCATATTTCCAATGCACAAATATACACGCTCCACTCTTGAGTAATACACAGCCAAAATTTCATTAGACTCTTATCCATGGCAAATTTTTCTATTCTGTCATCAATCTGGTAATTACCTTCTGTTCTTCTTCCCATGGAAGCCTTCTTAGCTAGATCCTGTAGAGTAACTGTTTTGTGCCAAACACCTGTACAGTCTGGCCCTAAAGCTAGTTAATCAGTCTGAAAAGATCTCTTTTAGGTCAAGAAGTGACTTTCCCATGGTACAAAGTCAATCTGTTGCCCTGAAATTGTTACTCTTTTTTATTTAGTAAGAAAATAATGCCATGAAGAAGACTAGAAAATGCTCTTTTACGCCATTTTCTGACTTCAGATACTTTTGTTAAATAAATTAAAGCTGCTTTTGAGCGTGGGCTGATGAGGAGAAAGTAAAGATAATTTTGTGCATTTCAGTTTTCTCACATTGTAGCTTACCCTTTTCGGAAGAAATTAAATAAAAACTGAGTTTATATACAGGTTATTGTGGTATTGTTGTTATAAGGCTCTATCAAAATCACTTGTTTAAAAGACGTATCATTATAGCAGCAGTTGACATGCAACTATTTGCCAAAACAAACTTGAAAACATTATTGTGACTCAGAAAATTATTTTCATTATAGCAGCAGTTTGGAGGCATATAATTACTTCTCCTCCAATGATATTTAGGTTTCAAAGGGACACTTTCAATGCTTGAGAAACCTTAAGGAGAAATGACAACATGGTTTCAAATGGTACCTTGAAGCATGCTAGAACATGCCTTAGGAACATGGATCAGAAATCTTTTCCTTTCCTTCACTGTGTTGCTTAAGATGGCTAGAAGGTGGACAGAAAGCATTACAGAATTCTGTTGATTGGATTAAATGTTTGGGAAGTTTAAGCATGAATATGTAATTAAAATAYCAGAAGCAGGATTCCACATTAAATGCTTGATATGAAATGATTTTTTTCTTGGTCAAGTCTGTGCATGACAGAGACAGAGATGAGACTAATACTTTTCGTTTTGTATGATGTGCTCATTTACTAGGACAAATCCTCCTTTCTCTGTAGAAGCACATATGGCAGAAGGAAGCAAAATAAATCTGGTTCCTCTTTGTAGAACGGAACAGGATGTGGAAAGCTTATGGCAGAGTGTAAGAGGACTGCAGCCTTTTGCATTAGGGACATATGCTCGAAGGGGATCCATCTGTACTCTGTGCAGACGTGTTATCAGGGCTCTGTGACTGCACTGGGCAGGAGCCAAGGCTGCTGCTGCTGCTGTCAGGGGCTCCAGCCTTGTCCCAGCAGGGGCTTGCAGTGAGTGAGGCTGCTGCACCCCCCCTGAGGGCTCCTTTATCAAACCGACCTTCTTCAAATCGATGTTTAGTTCACTCTGTGTTTTCAGAAAACGATTTTTTAAAATTTGTCCTCGGATACTTGCTGTGAAAAAAAATCAAAATATCCATTCTTGAGATGAGATCAAATGCCTCCCAGGTATATATTTTCATGGGTGAATTTTGAACCACTTCATAGTAGACAATTTTAATGGAAACTCAGAACAGAACTGTTAGTTTAGTGTGCAGCTGTAATATGTTTTCTGAGCTGTATAGCATGCTCAGTGCAGAGATTTAAACTTAAGTGACAGGTAAATAGGAAAACAGGAACATCTCTTACTCTTGAACTTCTCTGTCCTTAAGCCTATACTTAACATGATGTTATTATCACTTTAATGGACAATTATTGGACTCTGGGTGAATAGAAAAGTGATTCAAATTCAAAAAACTGAACTGCATAAAATAGCTACCATTCACTGACTGTAATTTTCTTTGGTCAAGGGTTTTTTGAGGTGGTTTGACTCAAATTCAAAGCCCACTGTTGCTGATTAAATGTAATCTTTTCGTTACAGGGAGAAGGAGGTTTGTGTTTCTTGTTACTAGAWCATCTTGCTTTTATTTCATTTCCTTTCATTTTTCTTGCCCATGTTGTCATTGTCAGACCCAAGCAATTGCTGTAGCAGAGCAGTTATAATAACACAGGAAAAGAAATTCGATCATATTTGTATGTAAACTGCAGAACTGACACAGTTTATTTTGACTAGCTGCTTCCCTGCTGTTTTCCAGGCATTGATAATATACTTCCATGTATTATTGGAACTGCCACAGCTGAGGTCAGTATGGATTAAACTTCACTACAGTATAGTAATAGCATGAGATTGCTCTTTCAGTGCACTGAAATAAATGTTTTCATTACTTCCTTAAAATAAATGCTTTTGGTGCCGTGAAGGTAAGCAAACCCATGAAACTATCTTTAGAAGTCTTTACCGCATGTAAATATTTTCTTCTTCCTAGTGAAATATTTTTACCCTTTTATTTGCCACAGTTCCTGTCCTCTGCTACTCTTAATGCSAATAAGCACTCTTTTTCTTAGGGCCAAAATCATCTTTCCACATCAATTTCTTGTTGTAGACTCAACAGCTCACTATTTGTGTAGCCACAATCTGTTCTACTTTCCACGTGCTGTGCTGCTAGTTCAGTCTTGTTTTTAAAGTGGAGTCATGGGGACTACTCCTACAGTGGAACATGGACAGACACACTCCAGCCACATCCTCATTCTCTTTTAATCCTAATTGCCTTGGGAAGGAGACCAGAGGGGACCAGCATGTCACCAGCTATAGACAGGAGAGCAGCACTGCAGGACCATTGCAGAGACCACCTCTTCTGTTCTAGACATGGTGGTCAGGGTGTGTCAGTCGTAATCAGAATACGAGAAAGCATAATGAACACACCAAATATGTCTCTATGTCTGATAATAAACCAGTTGATAATAAACTCTTCAAATACTGACTAGAAATAGGATACATATGGATCTACATCTGTAGTGTAGGCTGAGAGAATTTTTTCCTGATCTTAGGAAAAAAGAAAGCAGATTGTTATGCTCAAAGCTGCTCTCAATTCCTTCTTCCAGCATTGTCTGTAATTCTCTATTGTAGTAGGCATAGCTACTCTGCTTGAGGAAGAAAGCATTTTTCCTAGTGGCTTCTTTAAATAAAAAGCACCCTGTCCTTCTCCTGGTTTTCTGGTACAAAAATAAATTGGTTTTGCAGTATCCACAAATTTGGTTTTGCAGTGTTGGTGGTGTTAAATCATTGTTCAGTTTTCCTTTTGTGGCCTGCACAGCCAAATCACCCTAGTTGGCGACTGTAAGCCCTTCAAGCAGGCAAAAACCKTTTTTTTGTGTTAAATGGTTTATACAGTGTTGGCAAATACTGCAAATAAGGACTAACTGTGTATTATACAAAGCACATGGATTGTTGGGGTAATTTAATTTTGGATGGGCAATACAGGAGGGGCTAACTGGATGTAAGTCATTAAAAGAGAGAAAATACATAAAAGGTGTGTCAGAGTTAAAAAAGGAAAGTTAGTTTCTCCTAGAATAATACTAATGAAGCAAAAATATATAGGTACTTTAAAGATAACAAAATGATAAGTCAAAAAAAGATGAATCAAAGATAATCAAAATTATAAAGATAACAAAATGATAAATTATAGAAACTAAATCTTAATAATTTATTTTCAAGCTGGTTGGTGATTATTTGGTGAATAATCTTTTGTCTATTTTAGTCCTATGAAGTCTTTGATATGTCTTGGGAACCCTGCAATTAAAGTTGAGCAAAACATTTAGTCACTAAGATGCTCTTATTATAAATTATTATTAGGAGTTTAAAACAACTCCTACTCATAACGATGATGARAGGAAAAATGCCCACCAGTTTTGGCCTTTTGAAATTTAAAATTATTGTAATTTCTTGTTTGGCTCAATACTTCCATGAGCTGGCCTTCATGAATCATCAGCTTTGCAGTCTGCATGACTGCAACAAAATCCTGACTTTTCTTTTTACTTTTTTTTTCCTGTTTAGTTTTTTTCTTCCTTTTCCTTTTCCATTCCCTTACCCTTTCCTTGTCATGTGAGACTCTCAAAGCATCTTTAAG